GTAAAAGCTAAAATAGATGAAGTTTTAGGAAAGAGAACTTATCTTTGTAAAGTAGAGAATGAAAATTTAATTTGGAAAAGACATTTAGATCAAATTGTTAGCTGTTCTCAAAACTTTTCTGATAATAGTAATGTTTATAGAGACAAAAATTGTAATGATAGTAGTTGTAAAGATGTTCAAGACCATTCACTTAATATTGGAAAAGATATTTCAGAAAATTTATTTAATAATTCTAAAAATAGTATTTATACTGAAAATATTGATTGCAAAAATGTACAAAACCAGAATTCAGAATTAATTCATATAAATAAAGATTGTGAAACAGAGGCTAATGTTAATAATGATAAAGAAATTAAAGAGAATACTGAAAAGGCTCAAGTTAGTACAAATATTAATTCTGAATTCATTAGGGAAAATATAAGTCGTTCAGGTAGAATTATTAAACCACCCCAACGATTAAACTTGTGAGGGGGGTATTGTAATGTATTATCTATGTTTTATATGGCATCTCAAAAAAACCTTTTTGAATGATGGCAACACAGCCTTCCTTCTTCTCCATTTTTGACGACGCTAAGCGTGCATTTGTTAATTAATGTATTTTGTGATTAAACTAATAAAGAGCAGTGAATCACAATTTTATATCTTTCATTGATCACGGCGATCATTGTGTCTCTGAAGGACAGAGGACACATCAGACGGTAACATCGACAAGTTTGTGTAGAATAGCTAGCAACGGGTGGGATTCATTTTGTAAAATTTTAAGGAAAAATCTGTCACTAAGATATTGCCTACGAAGAAAAAGGGGGGGGTCAGCAGCCTCTATTTGGAGGGCATTAATGGGGGAGGACTTCATAGCCCCTAGGATAATACGCAAACACTTCGATTGAATTTTGTTTATTTTGTCTAATGCGGATACATTGCAAGGGTCGAGAAGGAAGGAACCATAATCAAAGTGACTGCGCACTATGGCGTTATATATTAGTTTTTGGGTAACTGGGTGTGCGGGGTGCACCAAACACCAGAGAGCGCACGAAGAACATTGACACCTTTTTCTGCCTTGTTGGCAACATTATTGAAGTGAGCCGTTCCCGATAGTTTGGAATCCAAAATCATACCTAGGAATTTAACACAGTCTTTTATGTCTATGACAGAATTTTGAAATTTTATAACAGGAGTAGGAACATTTCGTTTTTTGGTAAAGATAACAGCACTACACTTTGGTGGGGAAATTGATAAACCGTGTTTTTCTAACCATTCCCCGAGGTGATTTAGAGCAGAGTTCATACGTGAAGTTGCTTCCGGTATGGATTTTACTCGTACGTATAGAGCTATATCATCTGCGTATTGGAGAGTGTTGCAAAAGCAATTTGTGGAAAGCTCCATATCATGCGTGTATAAACTATATAAAATAGGACTAAGGACTGATCCTTGAGGTAACCCTTTCCAGACCGTCCTTGCCAGTGAATGATTTTGATGCCTTATCAGGATGGATCTAGTTGTGATTGAGTTGCAAATGAACCGAACTAATTTCTCAGGAACACTCAGCTGATGCATTTTATGCCTGAGCACTGGAATAAGGACATTATCATAAGCAGAAGCAACATCTAGAAAGACACCAAGAAGGTATTCTTTGTTTTGAAATGCTAATCGAATATCCGATGTTAATAAACTTAAACTGTCCATGGTACTAAAGCCCTTTCTGAAACCATATTGAGATTTAGCAATGATATTACGGCTTTCCACAATCCATTCCAGGCGGTTTTTAATCATGTGTTCCATGATTTTTAGGAGGACAGATGATAGGGCAATAGGGCGGTAGGAAGAGTGGTTAGAGGGATCTTTCCCTGGTTTGATTAAAGGGATGATTATTTGCTTAGACCACTGAACTGGGATGGAACCGGTATCGTAAAATGTATTAATCAATTTTAAATAATATTGTTTTATTTTGTCGGAGGCTCTTATCAGGAAAGAGTATGGAATGCCATCCAAGCCTGGAGAAGTATCCCTTAAACCAGAAAGAGCTTTTTGGAGTTCTTCAAATGAAAAGACCTCATCCAAGTTGTCTTTAGAGGACAGAGTGACATGTAGTTTCACAGGAAGGCAATCAAAATTTGGGGCAAATGGGGGGGCTAATTTATCGGCAAATAGATCGATCCAGATAGAGGGATCATTAGCCGTCAGATTCGCACGGTTGCGAGCCCTACGGAATCTTTTTAATTGTTTCCATACTATTGTCGATGGAGTGCCAGGAGCCAACGATTCACAAAAGTTAATCCAACCAATTCTTTTTTTGTATTTAAGCATCTTTTTGGTTTGAGCCGCGACTCGCTGGTAAGCTACAAAATTATCCATGGTCATGGCGTTCCTGTAAGTTTTCTCAGACTCTTTACGTTTTTTGATAGCTTCTGAGCATTCAGAGTCCCACCAAGGGGGGGGAACTTTTTTACGAATGTTGTTTTTCTTCGGAATACTGGTTTCAGCAGAGTCTATTAACATCTCAGTAAACATGTCGTAAGCCTTTTGATGATTTTCTGTAGTAATTGGAGGAAGTGAAATAGAATTGCTGTCCAGCGTTCTGGTATAGGCCGACCAATCAGCTTTGTGTAACCTAAACTGAAGTAAGGGGGGGTGGAGATTGGTAGGGGAAGTGTGATCTAATATCGAAATAAGAATTGGAAAATGATCACTGCCATGTGTGCTGTTTAGCACATTCCAGGCCACATCGGATGCCAAAGAAGGGGGACAAATTGTGAGGTCTACTGCTGATGGATTTTGGTTAGGGCGAGTCCTCCTGGTGGGACTACCATCATTGATAACACAGAGGTCTCTATCGTCGATAAGATCTAGAAGTTGATAACCAAGCGAGTCATTAGTATACGAACCCCATGAAACATGGTGTGCATTAAAATCCCCCATTATTACTATGGGTGAAGGGAGGGATGATAAAATAGAGTTTAATTCTTGTATAACTAAACTATGCGTTGATTGCGGGGGAATATATATTGAGAGGTAAGATATATTTGAAATTCTTGCAGCTACTGCATTAATACAGTTGTTGTGTGTCAGGTTAATTTGATTAAAAGGAAGAGAGTAACTAATCAACAGAGCACTTCCACCATATCCATCAGCTCTGTCATCCCGGAGACAAGAGTACCCTGAAACACCAAAGGTGTTACCAGGCACCAACCATGTCTCCGATAAGGCAAGAATGAACGGAGAGAACTTATTAATGAGATAATTTAATTCGTAAGTTTTGGGTACTATACTACAACAATTCCACTGAATTATCTTCGCCATTTTTATTATTGTAAATAAATTTATTAAGTTGACTTATTCTATGTGCAACGTTGGACGGTATAGGAATATCATCAAACCTGTTAAGAAGGCTGAAAACAAAGGACAAAAGGGCATCTAACAAGTTATCATTGGGGGTGGTTTCAGAGAGGATAGTTGAGTTATCATTGTTAAGGGCATAACCATTAGGGAGCGAAGATGGGCAGTTTTGGACAATAGCCTGATGAGCTATTCTATCAAATCCAATATTTGAAGGAGCTCTAGGTTTGGGGGATTTGGTAACCAATTTTTTATATGAGGATGAAGGACTTAAGGCCTTGGGAGAGGATTGGAGTTGAGGAAGGGATGTAGCTTGGGTTGGAGATTGGACGACATCAGCATAAGATCTCCTTACCGAGGGGAATCTTTCTGATGCCTCTTGGTAGGATATGTTGTCTTGAGACATTGATATTTTAATAGATCTTTGCCTAGAATGTTCTGGACAGTTCTTATTAGATGCAAAGTGGCATCCTGAGCAGTAAAGGCAGGTTGCCTTTGATTCTTCTACCATACAAGACTGACCTGAGTGTGGTTGTGCACAGCGGAAGCAACGTGGCTTGGATCGACATTGGGGTTTAATATGTCCGAACCTGCAGCAGTTCATGCATTGAATAGTTGGGAGTTGGTATGTCTCTACTGCCAAGGATGTATGATATACAAATATTCTATTAGGGAGAACCTGCCCTTGGAATGTGAGAACAACTGTTTGTGTGGGGACCCAGGATACTTGCCCTTCAGAGATTGACTTTCTGTTAAGTCGTCTTGCTTTCAGAACCACTCCACAGTTAACGGGAACAACTAAAGAATCTACAAACTCTTCCATTGATAAGTCCGAGGGAACACCTTTAACGATGCCCATGCGAGTAATGTTGTAGTTGGGAATTGTAGCACTGTATTTATATATTGATAAAAAAGGGTTTTTCAAGAATTGATTAGCGTCAGTTTTGGTTTTGAATTCCACAGATATCCTGTTACGACCTATCTTTTTTATACCGTCATTCAATATGTTTTCAACTTTGTTTTTAACTAAAAATTGCCCGAATTTGATAGGGTGGATAGATGTGCCAGATGAAAGATCTGTCTCAATTTTAGAAACATGTATAATGAATGGTCCCTTATCACTGTTTAAATATTGTTTATTAGACTGATTTAAAAAGGGATGGGTGTATATGCCAGGAGAGGGGTCTAATGTGTCCGACTGACAGGACTCAGTAATTATTCTTTTAGAAGGCGCGTCGTTTACCTCGGGTTCAGTATCATTACGTCGTTTGAGGCTAGTCTGGGTAAATAAAGGAGGTGAAAGTTCCATTGATGAATAATGCGTCGGAGACCGGTCCGGTGGATCCGGTGGATCCGGAGGGGTCCTTTCCATGATTACTTTGTAATCAATGGAAAGGACAGGAGAACAAATAAATAGGTACTTACCAACACCTTATGTTAGGACAAAACACAAACACTTAATTATATCGCAGTTCCGCGTAGAAAGAAGGCTTAAAATTAACAAAACAAACGAAATCCCTTAAACACGTGTAATAACAAACACTAATGAGGGCAGAATCCGAGATATAAGCTCATGTATGGCAAAGGCTTTATACTAATACGTTATGTCATTGTCAACGCCAAATGTCAAGTCAAATTCGGATTTCAAGTGGGTAAGTTTTATGTTTGTGTGAAATGATTTATTTATAGTTTAGTAATGAAATATATGTTGCATTTTGAAAATTTTAATTTACAATAAATATATTTTTCAGTTTGCGAAACTGGTGCATTCTATAAGGAAACATGCCTCGATACCATAAGGTAGAAATCAACAAGACGGAATGGATCGTGCCAGAGCGGTATCAAATGTTAACACCTGTAGGCTCCGGAGCTTACGGTCAAGTTTGGTACGTTTGTTTTGATTTAGAAAATATTTTAGGCAATATGCCAGTAATATTCTTACATGTTTTCTATCTATGTAATACTTGCATTTACAGTCGCATATTTTATTACGCGGTACATTGCCCTTGCGTAGGCGGAACTGGTTTGAAATATTTGCTAATGTAATCTTTGTTGTTGTAGTTCTGCAATCGATACTTTGCATAATATGAAGGTGGCTATAAAAAAATTGGCTAGGCCTTTTCAATCTGCAGTTCACGCTAAGCGAACATATCGTGAATTGCGTATGCTTAAACATATGAACCACGAGAATGTTATTGGTAAGTTATGCTAATGAATTTCTAAAGCTATCAACTCACAGTTTAAGATTGGGTTTCTCGGAAAAAAGAAGTAGGATACTGCCAGTCCAAGGAAACACCAGTCTGAAATAGATGTGTGTGATACAGATTGTTATTAAGCACATTCCCAGTATTAAAAATCCTACTAGATAGCTCTTGTTTATAGGATGGTGAAGTAGAGAAACAATAAAATTCATTATAACTTTCGACATACAAAATCAATCATAATTGCCATATAAAAATTCACATAAAGAGTTTGAAGTTAATTTAAAAAATTAAATGTTTATAATTTTATTTCCAAACAGGACTACTTGATGTGTTTAGCCCAGAAAAAACCTTGGAAGAATTTCAACAAGTCTACTTAGTCACACATTTGATGGGAGCAGATTTAAATAATATTGTGCGCACACAAAAACTATCTGATGACCATGTACAATTTCTTGTATATCAGATATTGCGTGGATTAAAATATATACATTCTGCAGGCATCATCCACAGAGTATGAGAGAAACATTATTATTTTATTAAGGATAGACTAATAATTGACACCATAATTCAAAGCATTTCATTTACAGGACTTGAAACCTTCAAATATAGCTGTAAATGAAGATTGTGAATTGAAAATATTAGATTTTGGATTAGCTCGGCCTACTGAAACAGAAATGACAGGATATGTTGCCACTAGGTATGTATTAGAACTTATAATTGGAAACAGTTCAACAAATCTTAATTTCTTTTAAATAATTTTTTTTGTCTAATTTTTATGTTGACTTCACAATATGGCACATATAGTTTAACTTACTTATAGTGATTAAGTGACTACAGTATAAGTGGATACTGAATATAGGTATTTGAGGAACACAAAAGACATTCAGTGTATTGGGTAGAGTGGGCCTGTATTAGTTATTTGCAAATGTTTTTGACAACTATTTTGACAAATTGGAACATGTATTAAAAAAAAACTTTATAATGATTTTTGTGTGTCTAAAAGACATGGTATAGACATCAAAACTGTTATTGTAAACAGGTGGTACAGAGCTCCAGAAATTATGTTGAACTGGATGCACTACAACCAGACTGTGGACATTTGGTCTGTGGGATGCATAATGGCTGAGCTTCTAACAGGGAGAACTTTATTTCCAGGGTCAGATCGTATCCTTTTGTATATATTTTTCATATTCAAGCATACTGCACTTAGATGTTGTTGTAGTTAGTATATTACACTAAATATATTAAATAGTGGAACTAAATAGAATTGGCTATTGGAGATATTCTCATGATTATTTACAGAGGTGTACCAAGACTTTAGCACCATCTGGGGATGAAATTGAACAGTGAAGATTTGGCTCTTACACCCAAGTTTAATAATGTTGCTATAACATTACATTGAGATGAATTCTGGTAAGTCCAATAGTAGTGAATAAGTTAATGCGGTGTGACACCACAATTTCGGAACTCGGTATCATCAATGCTAGCGATGCCACTGATTGAAAACTTAACTCAATAAATGACACTGACTATCTTTGGTGAAAACCCTTTTGTATGTACATGACTTAGGTAATATGAAATAAAAAACAAATTGAAATGATAATTTGATAATAAATTCAACAAAATGAATTTTCAATTCCTCATACATAACGCACGTTTTTGCATGGTCTCTTACTCATTGTTCTCTCCGTTGTATTCTTTCTGTCTTAGTATTTAGGTAGTATTAATCTGACTATATGGCTTTCAACCTTAATGGACGAGACAGATATCCATCAATTGAACTTGATCATGGAGGTGCTTGGAACACCAAATCAAGAGTTTATGCTGAAAATATCCTCGGAGTCTGTAAGTAAACTGCTACGTTTACAGGACTAAATCACCTGATGGTCAATTCAAAGAAGAATAATTGTATTTTCAAAACTAGAGACATAACATAGCTTTGCATTAACTTGCTTTAATTGATGTGGTTTGTCTTGTCATAATGTGGCTTGTGTAATTTTGGTGCTTTTTAACCTTAACCTTTGCGTGTCAGATATTGATCATCTCACAAGGATATTGTTTTTGTGTGGAAAGCCTGAGCAAGAGACTATTGATAAAATAATTAGTGAGGAGGTAAGACAAGTACAAACTTAGAGGTTAATACTTTGTATTCCAAGTAAGGTAGAGGCGCCTAAGAGTGTTTCAAGTTTTGAACTCTCTAAGTTTTTCTTTCTTTGTAAACAAAACAGATATGCCTTTAACTTTTTGGACGTGTGTCTCTGCAATCAGACAATTGGAATGAGTTGAGTATGGTTGGTTTTTAGAATCTTAGAGCTCAGTGGGTCCTCTTAGGCACTACTACCTTAGTTATAATTTAATATCTTGAAATGCAAGCAAAATAACTTATTCGCAATAGCAACTAATAATGGAAATAATAAAGGAGAATGTTTTTTTTGGTACTTTATTCCGAAAAAATTTAGCCACTATTAAGAAAATTATTATAGCAGCTAGACTCAATCCTGTATCTTTCATCAAAGTTTCAGGTCTGAAAGGTCCCCCGTTTTAGAGAATTAAGTTAAAAAAAGAAAATGGTATGGTTTTCCTAGAAACACTTGTACGCACAGCCATAAAACCCATAAAAATAAAATAAAGTGCTGAAAATTAAAACAAACGCAAAGGGATCTTTGTCCACAGCCTAGCTTTCGGCAGGGTACTTTGGGGTAATTACGAAAGTAAAATGAAATTAAACAAAAAACAATGTTTCTTGTAATTAAAATATTTTTTATCCAATAAAAGCCTGTTTAACAGTCAACTTTACCGACGCATAATGCCTGATTTGTTGTTAATTCGTCACTTTCGGGCAGCCTGAATTTGCCTGTTTTGTGTACCCCCCCAAAGCACCTTATAATAAACTTAGCGTCTCTAGTAGACGAATCATATATCAATAATGTGCAAATCGAATTCATAATTTGTTCACTATGTGTTTATTATAATAAGCCACGCACTGAATACACTCAAACTGGGCCTAATCTGCATTGACGAGCTTCGATCCATTTTAAATATCTCTATTTGAGATTTAGAGGTCTGAAATAACAATAATTAATAGCAAATAAAAATTTAAATTCCACATTGTCCAAATAGATTCATTCACAGCATGAATTAGAACGTAACTTAGGGATGGGGTTGCCATAGATTTTCTTAATGCACTTATGTGTTGCTACATAAATTATAAAATATCCACCAAATGATGTTCAAATAGGAAAATAAACATTTTGGTGGCGCCTAAAAATAAAATAAAATGATGATGAGTAAGGTTTAATTTCCCTCTATTGATTAATATATACTTTATGTTTGGTTAGAGATAAATAGAATAAAGTACCAGCCACCATACAAAAAAAGTTTTGTAAATAAAGAGACATATCTATGTAAATAAGATATATCTTGTGTAGTGGCGTATGTAGCTACGTAGATAGACATTCTAAAAATTAGTAGGATGATACCCAATAGTAAATAAGTTCTTTTGCGATCAAATCAATTTGAATTTGAGTTTCACAAATAAATATACAAATAAAGGTATTAGGCGAGGTAATGTCATTCGTTCTCTGAATGTCACTCGTGCTTCTGTGATTGTAATGTGTTATAATGCTTAATTATCTCACCCTGGGTTCGCTGAATAAATATCAACAAATAACTAAAATAAGTTTATTGAAACTACTATCAAATATAAATTATACATTTTGGGAATTGAAATAGGAGGTCGATGAAATAAAACTAGTACGATCGAGTTACGATAGGGGTGTAGACAACTTTTTATATTTTTATTTTATAGATGAACTATATTTAGAATATCATTCATATAATAAATTAAATTAATGCTATTGTCGCTACGGTCGGTTAAGGGATGGGTGGCTGAAAAGTTATTATCTTGAGCTACTCCGTGCTTCCAAAGGCACGTTAACTGCAGTCGTCAATACCATCCAATCCGCATTGGGCCAGTGTGGCATCCTCCTTAACCTTCCCTGCACTGACCCCTGCAGTGGGAACGTAAAAAGGGCTGATTGTCATAATTATGATTGGGGTTATGAATAGGCTGATAACATAGGAAGTTGAATACGTAACCACGTTTTGTCTATTCTCGTAAATGTCAACCTAGGGTAGGGTAATTAATGCCAACCTAGGGTAAGTTTTTAACTTGATGCGTGCGTGATTTAAGCGTTGTGCCTTAATCATAAGCTGTAATTAAAATAGTTGTTTTCAATACCAGTATAAATATTTTATTCAAATGGAAGTCACCAAGTACACTTTAAAATGTAACTTTTGCATGACAAAATACGGTGTTGGGTGGATAAATATGATGTCTATTATTACCTTAAACTTGCCTATATTCGAACCTAATCTATTTTCCTTGAGAAGATGTTCTTGATCCTCGTCATTTGAATTTGACCAAAACAGTTCGCATATATGCTTCGCATTCGTATGAAAACTCGACGATAACAGCATGGGTCTGAAGAACTCTTCAGTTTTTATAAATAACATTATCCGTAGGCAATGAAAGTTAAATCCAAGGATTTAATAAAAAGCTTCTTCAACAAACGGATGAGAAAAATAAATACTAATTTATAGAAGACCTGTCGTCTTGTGAATATTATATAGAGAAAGTTAAAAGCGAAACAGTTCTGTCGTCTATTCGAAATACTGACATAGGATTGTTTTACAACAGGCAAGGAATTACATCCAGTCATTGCCAACGCTGAAGCGTCGAGACTTCCGGGAGGTGTTCCGCGGTGCAAATCCTCTAGCAGTAAACTTACTTGAGCTAATGCTCGAGTTGGATGCTGACAAGTGAGTATTTATTATAAACAATCGCAAAAATTTATTACATTGAACAACATTTTTCGGAGACTTGTCAATCTGTTTGGAATTCGATCCGATTTCTTGTACAAATAAAGTAATTTTTAGATAGTCGCCTCTATTTTTAGATAGTAATTATGCAGTTATGATAATTATCAATTGAATTGATTGACGAAAAAACAAGAATCAATAATATGCATGTTACCGTCAATCTGTATAATTCGGTGTTCTTTAAAATACTTGGTAATATACGAAATATTATTTATTTTAGACTCTGTCTAGGTATTTGATACAATAAGAAATACGCAACCGGTAATGTGTATAATACTGTCGTCGTAAGTCGTGTTATTTCTGTGTCTGAAAACACAACATATTTTAAATATTAACTAGCTATGTACAGTAAGATCCAACTAATATGGTTCATCGTAAATCTTCGTTTGCGCAGAGCACTGATCAATCCCAATGATGATTGAATGTGTGATTAAATAATGAGTTTTATTGTAATAATAACTATAAGGTGTAACGTACAACGTATTATGTGTCATTTGCCGCGCTGTAGTCTTGTGCGCATGTACATCTGTGCGCCACATAACTTCTTGTATATTTCTGTAATGGTAATTAATATTAATATTTCATACCAATCCAAGGTTCTATAATAAAATGCGTAGGTATCGTATAAAATACCTGAATTTTACTGATTACCGGTGACATGTTTAATGTGTGCATTAGTATATTCCATCTGCCTTCAATTATTAATGTTCTCTCAAGTAATTATATGCATGCAAAACGGGTGTGATTTTGCCATCGAATTGTTACGCCTTCTACGGCCGGAGAAAGAAGACGAAGAAATTTTATGTTATTTATTTTAATTCAGCTTCTAGATATCTATTTGGTTTTTTATTCGGTTTACTTTAAATAGTATTTTCCAATGTATAGGCGTATAACAGCTGAGCAAGCTCTTGCACACGAGTACCTAGCCCAGTACGCAGATCCCACAGATGAACCGGACTCTGCGCCCTACGACCAGAGTTTCGAGGACATGGACTTGCCCGTCGACAAGTGGAAAGGTAAGCCCAATACTCTGTAGTTTAGTACCTATATCTATATATCTCGACGCCAGAGTGTAGACTCTTAACGTAGACATACAGTGCTGTAAGATTACTTGAAGCCCTAAAGTGAAGTTTTACCTATTGCTCTGGGTTTAGACTAGTAATAAATATTAAAGATATTTTCGGTTTCTTCTCCATATTAATTCGCATCAATTATATTTAAAGTTATAAAATTCTTGACCATGACCAATTTTCTTCAATAACTTTAGTAAAAAGCAACGCATTGACTTCTTTAGTTTACACATTATCATTATGTTTCAGAGTTAGTATGGAAAGAAGTAGTAGAGTTCAAACCTCACCCACAACACATGAATACAGTAGTGGAAGTTAATCCACAATGATTCGATGATCACTCCAGGTCACCACTACTTACGCAATGACGCCCAGTCACTGAATCAGCACACTTGTAGTGTAGTGAACTAGAGCGTTGTGTATACTACACCATTTTGTAATTATTATCTAGAAAATAGTTAAACAGAGTACATAATGTAAAATATAAGTTTTAGTTTAGAGGGGCTAAATCGTTTCGACATTGCTGGACAATTGTTTACTGTTGGTTAACAACCATGGGCCTTATTAATTGTCCAATTTTAACATCCATCGTAATACTTTTCAATTTGACATTCGAAAGATATTCATGAACTTCACTATTTGATATGTGATAGCGACTTTAAAGCTATTAAATTAAGGATATCGTTCATTTGACGTTAACTGGAATTGTCTAAGGTAAACGTTAGGTGCAAATATATCTTCAAGTTTTTAACATTTTTCTTGATCATTCAAATAATTTATTCTGAAAGTTTGCGACTTTAAACGTTACATAATTCCATAACTACCTTTGAAACGGATTGCGGTAGATTTTGAAATTAGACAATTAGCTGACATGTTTTTTTGTAAAGTGAGTATGGTATAAAGCCCTTTTTGTGTAGTTTTGACTTATAAGTATGGATTATTATCTATGTTGATAATAAACGTAGTAAATATTCAGGACGTAATTACTCTTAAGTTGTACGTTTTGTGGTATTTTATAATGGCTTATTGCAGTAATTATGTAATTTGAGGCTTAGTGTTCTGGTGCTATCTTGTGAATAATAAATTATTTACAAACATTAGAAACAATAATAACATTTAATAAAATCACTTAATCATTGGAGTTTATATGTATTTACAAAGATGTACTAAAATATAATACATTCACAATAATACCTAATAATGCATTCACGGTGTAGAACGCACTGTTTTGTAAGATTGTAATTTACAATTTGTTAGTGCTACAAATGTATTTTCTATAAAAAAATTACTGAACCAGGCAGCAAATATTGTATTACTAGTAAGATATTAGAAATATTTATTAATTATACAATATTAAATATTTTTCTAAACATATATATTTCCAAGGTGGTTTTAGCGCGGTAAACAAAAATTCAGGTTATAGAAAACGCTAAGTTTTCCCCACTTGGTTTCATACCTCAATGCATTGCAGATAGAGTCGATTGAGAGAATTTGACATTTTATGGTGTGTGAACAAAGAACTAACGTCCAAATAAGCTATAATTCAAAATAAGAAAACTACATTATATTTCAATGGAATTGTTGCAGTCATAATGTGAATTTATGACATTTTTTAAAAGACTTAAATTATCCATGAGATTCTCAGTTTTTTATACCTTATCATTTTTTCAAAGTGAAACTGAATTTGCGTTTGGCGTAATGGTTTGCCAGCAACTAATTAAAAACAGTTTTTGGCGCGAATTGCCAAAAACATCGTCTGTCCCTATCCATGTTATTAACGGACGTGTCGCCTTTTCTTCTACCATCGGATGGCAAAACGTTGCTGTTGAAAATTCGCTTTTTTATGAAATTAAGTTTAAATGGTGTTTTATGATTATTGACCATTTCTCGTAAACAATTTAAGGTAACAGTTTATTTCCTAAATAATATTAATATGATTGTTTTTATGTTATTCGAAGCCATTGTAATTTTGTTACGCTTAAACGCTGTACCGCGTTTTACTGTCAGACAGCAGTCTTGTCTTGTCGCCCAATATTAAAATGCGTTTATCAATGTTGATAGACACTAGATCATTTTCCTATATGGGCACCATTTGTCAGGTTTTATAGAATAAATATGTATATATAATATTAATGTGTCACTTGTTTGTGTAGTCAGTCGCTTACAAGCTGTTTACGTATTATTTCACTTGCTCACATTTAAACATGTAATTAAATAATAATGTAACATTAAGGTTAATACAATCAACAATATCGTGGTAAGGGTGGAATCAGTGCTGGCTCAATGAAACTTGTCGCCCTAGGCTAAACATTAGAATTTGGCGTCCCAGGCAAAACACTGGAACTGTGCCTTACACAAAACACTGGAACTTGGTGTCCTAGGTAAAACACTGGAACTTGGCGCCCTAGGCAAAACACTGGGCTTTGGCGTCCTAGGCAAAACACTGGAACTTGGTGTCTTAGGCAAAACACTGGGCTTTGGCGTCCTAGGCAAAACACTGGAACTTGGTGTCTTAGGCAAAACACAGTAGTTATGCATTTTTGAGTGATGAATCCGTTAAAAATGAATTAATAAGACATTTTAAGATTAGGTACTCGGTTACAATATTAAAAAAAATCTCTTTATAGCTTTCCCTTAACCTAGAGATTACCTTGATGGGGTAAATCAGCTATTATATGAAGTTGGGGGGTAAAAAGTTTTCCAGGACATCATAAATTAGCAACCACTGCGCTTTATAGCAAGAGTAGACTGTAGTGATTTTTACAATGATTGTAATGGTTCTAGAAAATTCATTACAATTTAAACAATACAAGGAAATTGACTGACAAATTTAAAGCGGAGTAACATTTTAATGATTCTGCTACTTAAAGGTATCACAGATTTATCAATTTTGTCGTCAATATATGGCGTTATTCTTCGATTATGGATTTTGATTCAATGAAAATGTCGTTTATAGCGCGGTATTGTTAATATATTTGTCAAATAGTCTGGACTAGGTTTGAAATTGCTAGCAGTGTTAATATTTTTAGTCGCTTTAACGTATTTTTTTACCTTCGCATTCTGATCGCACCTATAACGATATGGAGGCATTAAAAGGAGGTTACCTCGATGATTATCAAATAATCTTATGAACTAATTCCTTCGATTGAGTCATGTTGAAGGTCGTAATATATTTCAATTTAAAATTGTAAATAATAAAGTTTATTTGCTTTGCACCTCGTTTTAGAAATACGCCAATTGATTTTGAGTATTCGCAATTGTGTACAGTCAGCGTCATATATATAACATTTTATTACTTTGTAACATATATATATATATTCAACTTGAAATTGCATCTTAATTTCGCGGCGAATTTGTCCCTTCTGTAAACTTTCAAGTAGGTACCTAGAAAATGTTAAAAAATAGAATTAAAATGTGAACATTAATATCATCAAAAAGAATTGTTTAATACACAGGCAGTTTCTTTTTTTTTTTTCTAATATTTGGCCATTAATAAATTTATAATGTTTTTAATCTCATTCAGTGTTTATTGTTATGAATACGACAATATGCTGGTTTTGCTTGGATGTGCTCAGTCTGAACGGGCCTACATTCTCAATATGTGAATATACCGTACGTACTTAAATTGTTCAATAAACATCACCAAAGTGACTTTTTAATGTTAAAAGCAATAACTGGGTGTATGCAATATACAATGTAGGAAAGTTAGAGATGTATTAATTATCACCAGTTTAGTACCTACATTTATTTAATGTACTGTTACGAAATTTAAAGTTTAAGATTGAGAATGATGAAATAAATTGATTTAAAGGTTTTATAGAATTCGTTTTATTAAACTGATCCTTATTAACCCCTGCTTCGAATCTGAATTTCTTCGGTACCTACTCAAACACGTAAACTATAGAGCCCTTAACACGTAAACTATAGAGTGCAAATCGATTATGAATAGAAGTGCAAGACGCACTGCACGCACAGCAGCACTAAGGTTACTGTGCCAAATGGGCGTTAAATTTGCTTTGTGCATTAAACTCTGTTAAGATTAAGACTTAAAATAAATTGAAGTAAATCAACAGATTTGTATAACCTAAAATACTGTTGACTCTACCTACATAAATATTGGACATTAATTGAGCTTGAAATAGAAAGTATCCATCGCCCTTTATAAATACGCGTTACCTTACAATAAATTATAACAAATCGGTGTGAAATGCGATCAGAAACTTATATTTTCCGACGTTTTAAGTTACACCGGCCGTGGTCACTGGCTCTCTTCTACCATCCAGTTAGACCTTGGCTAGAGTAACTCGGCCGTAACGTCAGGAAGCATCGCGTAATACCCGCATGGAATACCCGTCGTGTCTAAAATACTACGAATCTTCAGTCAGATTTACCGACCACAGACCCAGAGAGCTTGTGACGAAAACGTACAAGAAAGTTCTAAGCCGGCCATTAGACGATCAAGCTGGATTGTGATCAGCCCCCTTATTCTCGAACGCAATCGCGACCGATCGACTATGCAATCGTCCCGCCCGCACTCTTGATTGATTCATTAGCATACTCTGGCGCTACTGTACCTAAAATATGTATAATCAAAGTTGCAGCTTTGATGACAAAAATCAAATTATCCGGATAATATGTGATCCCTTTCGATCTGGCATCAATCAGCACTTATTGTTACATCTGACGTCTATTTGATCAGATCGCGGATTGATCGTCTAATGCCCTGAATAAGATCGATGTTTCGTATAAAACTAGAACTTTCAGCTGATCTGTCATTATTGTTCCTCAAAAATAATGAATATTGATTAATACTTTTTTTTTATTTTAAAATCTATATCTATCTATAGAATTAGATATCGTAGCAGACTCTGATGTCGCCGATTTATAAAGTATCAATCAGATTTAATTGTTTGTGAAGAACGTTAATGACGGACGTATAAAACCGGAAGCCCAATTTTCCGAAAATCGCCCACCCCGCGTGAAGTCAGGCTTGGAATACGCGGTGGCTGCGCTCGTTTGATTCCGTGATGAGGTGATTTGAGGGTACAAAAATGTGGAATATGAACACCCAGGTGATCGGAGTGGAATAAACCGGATATGAATCTATAAGGTATCATTATAAATGTTACATCATTCTGAGTGACACTGGCTATATATTAAAAAAATCAGTATAGCAGATGTATGACGCTATTTATAACAAATATATGTCGTTAAATAATAATAAAACTAAGTTTTTAGTTAAATTATATTTATATATTTGGATTCTATTTTTCATGGCAATCGAAGCACCTAGAATACATATCCGATATAATAAGACTTAGTATTAACTAGCGCTTCAAACTAATCCAAATCTAAATACATAAATTAGCTGTGTGATGATGGTATATGTGTTCAGAATAACATTATAATATACGATATTATAATGGTTATGCTAAAGTAATTTGCGGGTATTCATAATATACAACTATTTATTACAAATTACTTCTCTGACACAATTGGTAGTACTATTATCACAATATTATTATAACTTTATACAATAGTTTCTCATAATGATGTGTATGTTTTCTGTATTGTTAAATTTAGAGGTAGGTCGTCTTCAGAATCAGAATTTGTTACCGGTTTAAGACTAACAGATGACGCATCAGTATTGGTGTGCAGAGAGGATTCTATATTTGGACAGCTATTGTCACTAACAGAAGTAATGCTAGTTGCAGTACTATTTGACGCATTACACGAGAGCGTGTTGCCATTTGAACTCGTTTCACTATTAGATTTTTTACTATACATCACATTAACAACACTTCTCAGTCTTTTACTCTCACGACTTGGACGTCGTCGTTTGTGATTCTTGGTTCTATGTCTATGGGTACCACTAGTGCTTGGTTGATCTAAAGTTGTTTCATTTTGTTCTTGAGGATTTACAGGTGGTTCTTTCTTTTTAGATGATTTCACTCCTTTACCAGAGTTAGATTTACGTGTATTATTCTTGTCTTTTTCAGGTTTAGTTACTTTCTTTTCTTTGTGGTGAATGCGGGATTTGCGCTTCTTATGTTTCTTTTTATCACTTGCTGCAGAATTTAAATCTTTGTGTTTCTTTTTATACTTCCTTTTCTTGGAAGGTTTTCGTTTTCTACTAGAGCTATTAGAGCTACTGAACGATTCGGAATCAGTCGATATTGTCGGCATGGAAGGTGAGGTAGTTATTGAGCAATTGTTAGATTCTGAACTGGACTCTGATTCCCAAGAGTGGGGAGGAGACGGTGTTGTCCGGCAAGTGTCTGTTGTGGTGGCAGTATCGTTAGAACGTTGCCGCTTTTTGCGTTTCGTCGGAAGCGGTCTGTGCGTGCCATCTTCGCTATCAGAATCGGGGTTTTGTTCTGAAGCATGCCTTTTTAAAATTAATTTCACTAAAGGTGCAGTTCTCGTATCTTGGTTCTCTGAACTTTGAGCCTGAGGCTCTGGCGGGGTTGTGTCTTGCACTATAACATCACTATCTGACCCGAGTAAATCGACAACTTCAGGTGTGCGGTCTTGTGGTGGTTTAATATAACCGACGACCATAACTTCTGACGAATCGTCATCGGTGTCAGAGTGAGATATAGTTTCGATGGGTATAACATTATTTGTAGCTGGTTGTGGAATGTAATTTTGAGGGTACACAGGCGCAGGTAAACGTGATGGTCCTGGTGGCGGCTCTGCAGGCTCGGAGCTCGAAACCATTACAATATCAGAATCAACGCTAGCCTCAGATTCTGAACTAGAGATGACTTCATTGACCATTGTCGATATTCTGGTGTCTGTAGTATATTGTATGTTGCGATCATATCCTGTTAGATCGTATGGAGTGGACGCAAAGCAATAAAGCTCGTGGAGGAAATGTTCAGTTCTGTCCCGAAAATATACTTGTAGGGCTTCTCTAAACTCAGGCGAGTTGATGTGATATTGAGGCAATAATTCCAGAATACGAGCAATAACATATGATATATGGCCAATATTTTCATTCAGTAAATAGTGAAGTTCTCTATTAAGCCAAGGCACTAGTCGGTGCATTTGTGAATCATTGTACCTTTAAAGAAAAAGACAAAAATAAAGAAAAGAACAAAGGACTATGTCCAATGGGATATTTAATGGTCTATGATATACATTAATCAGTTATAGTTACATAGCTAGTATCAATAAGGACACAAACAACAGGTCTTCTTACAAGATTATATCAAACTGTAAATAATAATTGCTGTTTTAATTCATTTTTATTAAAGAAACTCAATAAATTCGCTAAGCATAACTGAATTGGAGCTTATAATATCTTACTTCCATACAAAATATATGTACGATTGGAGCAAACATACCTATAGAATTCAGGTGAGCAATCTCTAAACCGTCCCGTGAAGTCTGGCAAAGGTCTCGCCCACAGATTATGACGGTACACGGTACGGCGAAAAGCGGCAGGTGAACGACGGCGACGGGCAGGAGGCGCTCGCGCTGGCGGTGGAAACACGTCCGCCATGATAGGGTAGTGCCGCAATAGCAGCTGCTGGATTGCGAGTGATTCTTGCCGCGGAAGAGTTAGTGTTGTTCTGTAAGAGCAAACTTGATGTTGGTATCTATTTTAATGTATTTAAAATTTTGATATCATGCCCATTCCAAATGCAAAAAAACATTTTTAACTACAGAAACAAACTTAAAGCTGATCCCTAATTTCCCTAAATAAAAGAAAGAATTATGGGACTTAAATAAGACGAACATTATTGATTAAAAAAAAGCATCAGCACCAAAATGCAGCTATCTGCCTGTAGAATGAAAACAATGATTATATTCTGTTTAACTTTAATATATATAAGCTTAAGTGGAACTTGATGGATGTGACATTCGCATATTAAATTTTAGATAAATCTTTAGTTTGTGCTGTGGATGCAGAATGAAATCACTATGAAAGGACACAAGATATATCGAAAAATTAATGTTAAAAAAAAATTACTTAAAGCCGTGTATCGACTGCGCGCGGCTGCCGCGCGAGCCATGTTCGACCGCGGCAAACCTGCGTTTTGGTGCGCGAGCCAATTTAAAGCTCACATTTTCATATAGCGCGGCAGCCGCGCGCGGCAGGCGATCCGTGAACAAACATTCATTTTGTGCGCGGCAACCATGGACGTATCACGTCAGCGACGTGCAGCTGCGGCTTTTATCATACCACCAAAAACCGACACGAACTGGTTCGCCGCGCGGCACGTTCGAGCGCGCCAATGTTCGAACTGCCGCGCGCGGCGGAGCCGTCCCCATATTGCGCGGCCGCCGCGCGAACCAATGTTCGATGGTTTGCCGCGCGCAGTCGATACGCGGCTTTACACCAACCTAATTTGGTTCTAATTACCAACAAGCATATATAATTTATTACAATTCTAGTGTTGTACAGAATAAAGAAATAAATTGTGAATTAAAATCGACTTAATAATTTGTTTAATTTGTACTCGAACCCGTCACAAGTTTTAGTCATAATAAGTGAATAATTTATTCACAAAATACTTAACATGTATCAGAAAGGAAAACTTTGATTCTACTGAGATCTTACAATTCATTATGTGATGAAAATTTCTGATTTAGCTAAATTTTGATGCAAGTCAGGGAAGATAGCAATTTCACAAGAGTATTCATAACATTTATTTTATTTATTTATTTCGTAACTTATAACTATCATTACAGGTGTAACCCAATGCGATAGTGAAAGCAAAATTAATCAATTAAATTATTAAAATTATAATACACAAATTAACATTAAAACATCATAAAATCATTCTTTCAAAAGGCATAAATCTATAATGCAGTGGTCACATCCTTGTCTAGATTGTCACCCTATGACCTATTAGGTACAATTATTTTAGAAAGAATTAAGACTTGAAAGGTAGTTGCTGTGTATTCAACAGAGAAATCCACATTAGTTTGGAGGTTGCAATATTATACTTTAACAACAAATTCAAATCGGCAAGTATGTATGAAAACGGTAAATCAATTATTCAGAAACAATAAATATGTGCAAGCAAGCTCTAAAACAATTGGTCCTCTATGCCTACCTCATAAGAGATCTTGTATGAAAATAGAGCATAGAAATGATTGTACAACTTTGAGATTTTATATTTTGGTATAACCAAAATTTCAGATGGAATGTTGTAGTGTACTAATAAAGCTCTCTAGCTATTATACACCACAGTGCCAAAATTCAGATAGTTGATGATAAATAGATGTCAGTGTATCAATTGAAAGATATGGCTATTTAAATAATAGCAGTGTATGTTTTAAACCTTTAATTAAACCTTAGTCAAAACATATAAAAATATTTTTTAACTGAATTTATTTGCAATTAGATTAAATTCTAAAAGCAGATATTTCTTAAGTTTCTACTAAAAAAGAATGTGGAATAAGATTTAAAAAAATAAATATAACTAATATATCTGATTTTATACCTATATCTAAATCTCCGGGTGCTTGCTGTTAGGTTATCAAAGTCCAATCTTTCAATAGTTTCTTCTGTTTGACGTTGCTCAACCATGTATTCCTCATACTGATGATTAGACTGTACATTATGAATAATAGATCTGAAATTTTGCTTGCAAAGTGGACATTCTGCTTTTACCTGTAAGTAGAAATAATGTTATAATGAATCATATAAAATTTCAGATGAATAGGTATTATAATAGGTCCCTAGCACGATTTAATAAATATTTTTACTTACCCTACTCCAAGTTAGAAGACATTTAAAACAAAATTGATGTAGACAAGAATCGGTGAATGATTTATTTCTGCATGTACCAAGGCAAATAGCACAGTTAGGTGGTGGTGAACCACAACCACCCTCTTGGCGTGGGCTACTGTCATCACTCTTGACACTACTGGGATTTGCTCCAGAACTATCATCTTGTGCTGATGCTGACACAGTCTCCATTATACCTGTGACCAAAATCGCGTTTTGATTGTAGGTATTTACTAATTTCATACTTCACGTTCTCTACATGAAATGAATGAAATTGTAAAGGTATCGAGGATTGAGCACTCAAGTTAGATCTTACCTATAATTCTATTAGAGCAATTTGTACACTACAAAGTTCTATAGCTCAATATTCGTGTTGGCAGTGACTCTTCATCGAAATGTGCACGAAATATTCGAGTGATAGATTTGTACTTGTGTATGACGTGACGAGTAACAGTAATCATAACTAAATGATAAATAACATATTTTTTTTATTAAAACAAATGATCCTACCAATATCTCTATACCACAGAATACTCCTAAAATACAAACAATATTGATTTATTGAGAAAAACTAAGTGGTACTCTATCTAAAAACCAACCAAACATGGCAGCACAGACCAATTCATGAATAGAATAGATGGACTTAACAATGTCTATGAGATAGACTAAAGATATTGTTCTGTGGATCTATTTGTATGGCAAATTAATACCAACATGATGGTATTAATTTATCAAAACAAGTCGAAAAAAACATTTCGAAGGTGCCAACCTACGAACCACTAACTTGAATTTTAACTTTCCTTATGTACAACATTGATTCTTTACTGATTAGGTACATATGAACAGATTTATGCTTTTTATTTCTTTTGTTTTATTTTACTAAATATTAAACATTTTATTAAGCTAAGTAGATAATATTTTTTAAATACGTATTTTTTTTTTAAATTAATAATAACTTGCACTAGATACAACTATTTAACTTTATTTTATACGAAATTTTTAGTTTTAAGTTATAGTAATTATATCTAATACACAAATAACACCAGTCTGCAATGTTTCTTTTATTCTGAGATAATATATTAATTTAGCGGTATTTGGTGATTTATTTTTACCCAAAATGTATGAAATCTGGTGCTATTTTACTTTCAATCTAGCGCCTTAAAAAATACAAGGTGGCAACACTGGGGGCCAATTCTAGTAAATAAATTATGTTTAAATCGAATCGAAACCGAATGATACTACAGTTTTGGATGGTTTTCCTATTCTACAAAGTGACATACGATACAATTCCAGTTTTATTTTAGCTGGAATTGTATCGTATGTCTCTTAATAGAACAGAAAAACCATTAAAAACCGTAGTTTCGTTCGGTTTCGATCCGTTTTCGATTCGATTTAAAAAAATATATATTTAGTAGAATTGACCCTCTGTTCTTAATCTGTGGCCTCAGGTTCGAAAAGAAAAATAAAAGGTGTCTGTTATCTAATCACAGCGTTTACAACATGGGTCTATTAAAAAAGGTAAATGTGTTTATTTGTTTCAATAAAATAAAGAGGCAGCGAAAAAATTATAAGATACATTTGCAACAACATATTAACTTTAATTTACGCAAATGAGATATTATTAAATGTTTAGAATGACATACAGAAAACACTTTTGTATCAACAACAAATTCTAATAATGTGCTGTTAAAGAAGTTGTATCTTCAGAGTAGTATCATAACATACATTATGTATAGACAGTCTATTAAGACTTCCATGAACGAGTGGCTGACATGCTGGTTTAAAGTTGTCGCCATCTATGAGGTTCCGAGTTAGAGTCCCAGTTGGGTCCTTGTAGATAATTAACTTTTCTTTATTGTCTTGGGTCTGAGCTTTGTGTGTTTTATTCGTTGTTTAAGATCTTCTTTATTTGGTTTGGATAGGTAACACAAGTGCTAAGGGCTACTTCCTTAGCAACATATGTGATTTTATCCAATTTTCATATTTATTAATTACAAATTTCAGACTACAGGTCTCACAGGTTTGGCAGTTGCTGCCAATCCACACCACACCTTAGGAGCACTATATGGAAAGATCTTGAGAACTCTCCAAAAAATGCCTGAAAATGCAGTGTATCGGAAATATACAGAACAAATTGTGCGTGAAAGAGCTGCTGTCCTCCAACAGGCAAGTAATAAAAATATTAAAACAATCAGTTGTGTCAAACATTTGTAGTCAGGTTTAAGACCTTTGACCTTTATTAGTCTAGGCAGTTGTTGAAAATTTTTGAATACCTTATTGAATAGTACTGTGAATGGTAAATTCATCAAATATAAATAATAAAAAGTTTATTATTTTCAGACCAAAGATGTGTGTGAAATAGAACAGAAAATTAATTGTGGTCAAGCTGAAGAATTAATCATTCAAGCTGAAAACGAACTAAATCTGGCTCGAAAAATGTTGAACTGGAAACCATGGGAACCTCTTGTTGCAAAGCCACCCAAAGGACAGTGGGACTGGCCTCCAGCACAGCAATAAATTTTTTGCCCGATTTTGAGTAGTCCTTAAATCTTAGAGAATATACTATTAAAATAAATATTTATCATTATTTTTACATAGGAAATAAAATTCAGTTATTGTAAAAACTTTTTTATTCTTAGTTTAAATCTAAGACCAGTCCATTTAACCATGCATGTAATTCGGAGAACACATAAAACATTTCATATATTTTTATAGTAAGATCTGATATATAGTGATTTATCTAAAATGACTATAAATTTAATAAAGAAATGGCTATTTTCAAGATTTAATATCATACAATTTAATATCACTATGTTTCAAGTAGTGTTATTTTAAATATACTTCAAAATATATCCCTCAGGAAGATGTGGATTTGAACACTTCTTATAAAGAGCTTTTAATAAAAATGATTAAACTGAAAATGGTAATGCATTAGGCCAATTTGTCTTGTCATATTTGGTTAACTAAATTGAATAATTCAGTCAACTGGTGTACTGTAGTCAGAAAATGATTGCTAGTTCTCCCATTAAAGTGGCAGCAATGAATCCCACAGTAAAATCTCATAGTGCATGCATAGATATGGATTGGTTATTAAGAACTTAATAAAAAAAATTAAGATAATATTTAGAACTCTTATCATCATACTCTCTGGTATATATATATATGTAATGTGATTGAATATTGACTTTCCTATACATAATTTATGTTTAAAGTACAATTGTGCGTATTTTGATAATTCTTATTAACAGCAATTTGTCTATTCTTTGGCTCAACTATTATCTATATGTACTGAACATTGCTTAATGGAATATGGTTAAATTTTCTTTTTGTTAAAGAATGGGCTATTTAAATATTTTATATGAAATAAGTTATTACAAAGACACAAATACATAATTTTACTGCAAGAATGCAGTTGCTACTGTAGTGTATACGTAGTGAATAATGTTATGAAGTACAAACATTGTTTAAAAATGATTGTTGTGGAACAAGAAACTTGTACATATATACATACATAGAATGAGATCATTGCATATTGAATATTAATAAAATAATATTTCAGTAATAAACTGCCTGAATCGAGTATGAGGACTAAATTAATGTTAAAAATTGTAGAAAACGATTATATGTAGGTACCAAACTTATATATAGTTTTGTTAACCTGAAAAAATTATAAAACAAAAAACTTACACCTCAGTCTATTAAAATTATATTTTGCTTATCTCAGATCAAAAAGTTGGAATGTTATTATATTTTTTTGTCATGAATGCGTGCATTTGTAATTTATCATTATATCATCAATAAAAAATATAAAAATTAGCACACATTAAGTAAACATAAATTCATTTTGGGAAATCAACCTCTTTTAAGAAAATAAGTTCCATCTTAACAATATTTGTTAAGCTTATTTGGCACAATGCACATGTGTATTACATAGTAACAATTTAAGCAATTAACATATAATATACTTTTTAATTTCTGTACATTTAAAAGACAAAATCACATTTGTTAAACATTCAAATTTTATTTAATTAATGCTTCTCTTGAGTATGGTATACTTGTCACAAAGTTATGGTAACTCACTTATCATGAAATCTATTTTTTCATAAATACAAATGGAATTCATTTTGTATGATCAATACATATAAGTCCATAAAACAGTATGTTATAAAAATATTATAAAATGATTTTTTTTTCATCCGTTAATACATTTTCATTATCAACATACAAATTAAATCCTTATATTTAAAAATAAATAACAGTATAAAATTGCTTGTAATAATAATACTTAAGAGCGGGATTTACTAAAAGAGGCAAATCAAACCATACAATACATAAATAATATTTATGCTACAGGCAGTTTGCCTCATAATGGTATATCCTTTGATTTATTTATAACAAAAAAAGCTGTCATATTAACTAAATTTGCAGTTATGTTGATGTAACACCTTTCCTTGCTACAAGTAAATTGAGAACTGGATGTTTTTTTATATAGCTGACTGCTTTTTTGTGTGTCACCATTGTAAAGTCATAACCATTGCATTGCAGAATTTTATCATGCATCCTTAAACCTGATTTTGCAGCTGGGCTTCCTTCATGAACTTCAGTAACGTAAATACCCTGTTGAAAAGCAATTATGAATTGAAAAACAATTTCAACTGGGATTTAACATACAAACCCTAATTTGTTATTTATTTATTAACAATGACACAAGCGAGAATTATATATGCCAACACAAACAACACCTATTTTTCCTATGCTTTATATGAGTAAACCAAGATGAAATACTTACATTATCAGTGTAGCCCTGAGGACTCTTGCGGAAATCTTGATCTATACCACCACCAATTTTAAACCCGCATTTCATAACTTCACGGCCTTCAGCATCTACCCCAGCTTCTTTCTGAAGTGTAATAGGAATCTGGAAAAGGAAAAACTTCAAAATGCTTGGTTTGTTTGGAAAACAAAACCTGGGAGTGGTCGTAAATTATTTACTGACACTGAGGCACTCCATGGCCGTGCCGGCTTGGTGTTGAAATGCCATTTTCGCCATGATTGCAGCTTTTAATATTATAAATTATTTTGGAGTAAGTATCGAAAACTAGCACACTACTTTTTTTACTTTCTTTCTATCACATCAACACATTAATAAAATTTGTGTACACAGACTACGGAAAAACATAGTTGTTGAAAACGACTAAAATACATTAATACGCTGAGACTAAATGCTAAGGAAAATTAGCGTGTTAATTAATGCGTTAATTTATTAACGCGCTAAGTACATAATAAAAGGCTGCGCGACAAACGTATTAAAAGGAAGCACTACACTAAATCTCGTAGCACGTTATTTATGGCTTGCCGATCTTTGAACTGAGCGCGTGCTATAGTAAACAATACTATTTTATTCTATTACATGTTAAATAAAAGTAAATAAGTATGTGCATATGTTATCGACTCGTAATACAATTTTACACCCCTTCACTAAAATTAGGCCTCATATTTATTAACATTATCATCTTTTTATAAACACGTTTTGAGTATAGTAATTTTTATTGAGAATACTATATAACATATATTCTTTTGCTCTATGTAATAATAATTTTGCTTACTTTGTGATACACCATCTGCTACCCATCATATATTTCAATCAATCCAGTCTAACGTACGGTTGCCTGGAAGAAATTGCTTTTTAACGATAATTCCGCCGATTGTGCTGTAAATATTTGCTTGTATTCATGTTTTTCTTTGTGATGTACAATAAAGTGTTCATTCATTCATCCATTCATCCGTGCATGTACTTATCATACTTAATCATGTCATAAAATATACATTGATTAGCTCATTCAGTCTGCAAAGCAGAGGTCAACTTTCTCTAGGGCCGGTCATAGGAAGAATGACAACATTTATTATCTCGAGCTCCGCTGCGTTCTATATTTTGATCCTGCTTGAGCTGCGTTTGCAGTCTATTTATATTTTTTTAGAATTACAACTTTCAATTTTTTTATCTAACATAAATTTAACGGTCCAATAACATTCGCACCTTCCACCGTTGATCCAAGATCGGCTTCGCGCGCGGTGTTACTTAACGTACTGCGAGAATAAATCGTTTACGCGTTAACAGGACATTATTAACACGCTAAATTTTAACGCCTTGACGTGTACATACTTATCAGCGTTAAGTACGTTTAGCGTGTTAAATTCACACGTTAAGCGCTAATTTACCACCTCTAGAGTAGGTAAGTTTATAGATTTGTAATGAAATAATATTATTATAAAAAAGTATGCCAACCTAACTTATCAAGTAGCGTTGAGTGAACCCTGTGAACGTATGAATGTTGTCAATATCGACATCAATTAAATTTCGCAGGATATAAATGGAGGCGTTACATAACGTCGTATGCTAGCAATATCTTCGAATAACTTCAAAGATGGGGAGTCCGTAGCTACTACATGGGCCGGTGCTGGCGAGAATCCGGTCTAATTCCTCGGCATCAGATATGTTGAAGCGTTAAGCAATCATATATGGTAAAATATGTCAAAAACTTCAAAGATAGTGTTGCTAAACTCACAATCTTTTTGTAGAGATGGGCGTCGTAGCCTGAGTATTATAAAAAACTAGTTTCGTCCACGTGGTATCGTATAATACATAAAAACTCTTCTTTTGAATCACCTTATCTAATAACTTCCTGAGGTTAAAAGTACCAATACTAGAACAAAATGACTTTGCAGTTACGGCCCAAGTTTTAAAGTAGCGACTTAATCTTTAGACCCATTGTGCTAATATTAGAACAAAATATTTTCCGTCATCTGCCAAGCTTAAATTTTGCGCCAGCGCCGCTTAAATATCGTGGCACGTTCTATGAGGAGGGGATAGGTACTATAATTTATTTATGTCTCTGTAATATTTCTCTCTTTTTTAAAGATAAATAAATGCAATTCACGTAAATACTATTATTTTTCCGTAATTTTGTCATCATCAATTAATGAATGAATGAATGAATAAATTCTTTATTGTACACCATAAATTATAGAGAAAATACAATTTATACAGTTTAGTTGTACAATCGGCGGCCTTATCGCTAAAGAGCAATTTCTGCCAGGCAACCGTAGGTTAGACTGGACTGTTACTAAATAGACGGGTAGTAGATGGTGTCTTACATTGCGAGAGAAATATACCTACATATATACATACAAATAACATATACATACCTCTACATATAAATATAATATACTATAAATAATATAATATAATAAACATATATAATATAATATAATACAATATATATAAAAACATTTAAAATGAAACAGTACCAAGATAAATATAACAGGATGATACGATAGCATTTCTTCCTAAAGTGATAGATAGTATTCCTTTAACATATTTTTAAAACACTTTAATGAAGGAGCGCGCATTATTTCTTCAGGTAAGGCATTCCACAAGCGAACAGCCTGAACTGCAAATGACTTATCAAGGAATTTTGTGGAGTGCACAGGCACCTGCAGTTTTAGGTTCTCCGATGATCTCAAAACTCGACAGTGCGTATCACTAAGGAACTTGAAACGTTCCTTAAGATAAGTTGGTGAGAGAGGATTGAACAGTATACTGTAAAGCAGGGAAACAATATGTGCATTCCGACGAAGTCGAATTGGCAACCACTTGAGCTTAGTGCGAAAATCAGATACATGATCATACTTGCGTAACCCAAATATGAATCTAATACAAAAATTTTGAAGTCTCTCAAGTTTATTCAGTTGCTCCTCAGTTAAGTCTAGATAGCTGACATCGGAGTAATCCAGTATTGGAAGAAGAAGGGATTGTGCGAGCGCAATTTTAGTGGCCACAGGCAAGAAGTTACGTAGCCTCTTCAAGGAACCAGCCGCAGCAAACATTTTCCGACTCGTCTGCTCGATCTGTGGTCCCCATGTCAAGTTTTTATCTATAACTATTCCCAGATTTCGTACGTTATCACTAGGGATTAAAGCAACACCATCGAACAAAATTGCAGGTAAACATGAGCGGTTGATTTTACTTGTCATTGCGGGACTGCCAACAATAATGACTTGGGTTTTCAGTGCATTTACTTTTATGCCATAGGACTTGCTCCAGTCACAAATTACTTCTAAGTCACGGTTCAGCGCATTAATCGCTAGAGACAGTTGATCAGGACAAGCTTGGGAATAAACTTGTAAATCATCTGCATAAAGGTGGTAAGATGAAACTAACTGGCGTGAGATGGAGTTGATAAATATAGCGAAAAGTAATGGAGATAAAACGCCACCCTGCGGTACACCAGCGGAAATATCACACCAAGTAGAAAAGGAATCCTCAATGCGTATTTGCTGTCGGCGCCCAGACAGGTAACTACGAAACCAGTCAATAACTGCCGGAGATATGTTAATAGAGCGCAATATGCCAAGCAAAATGTCAAAGTCAACGGTGTTAAATGCGTTACTGAAATCAAGTAGAGAGAGAACCGTAACTTTACCATGTTCCATTCCTGATCTTATATCTTCAGTTACATTCACCAGTGCAGTAGTAGTACTATGACCAGCGCGGAAACCTGATTGGTAGGAATTAAGGAGTTGATTTTTGAAAAGGAAACAGGACAACTGGTTGTGAATAAGGCGTTCCAGGACTTTGGAAAGAAATGGTAAAATGGAAATAGGCCTATAGTCTGTGAAGGATAGTGGTTTCGATTTTTTGGGTAACGGGATAACGGAAGCATCTTTCCAGGCTGAAGGAAATATACCCGTGTTTATGGATTGATTAAGAATATGGGAGATAATAGGAAGGATTTCGTCAAGGATAAGGGTAATCATTTTCCTACTGATAGAGTCCACACCCACAGCACTGGAGGTTATTGACATAATGCTCTTCTTAACATCACAGTCAGAAAATTGATGAAATGAAAAACGTGGATAGTCTGGGCACGGAAGAGATGAAAGATAATCCAAAGTGTTAGACTTGCTTGTTAAATCAAGGCCATGTGAAGACGAGAAGTGCCTATTAAGGGAATTAATATCTAAATTGCTAGAGGTAGATTCTTGACGCTGTTTTCCTATGCCCAGAGATCTCAGGAATTTCCAGACTTTTGCTGGATCTTCGACTTCAACGGAGTTGTGAATAAATTGGCGTTGTGCACTCCTACACACCTTATTGCATTGATTGCGAATTTTAACATACTTTTCCCAGTTGGAGGAAGAAGGTTTACGTTTGTACTTATTTTTAGCAGCAGCCTTCCGCTCTGACAAACGTTTAATGTCATCAGTAAGCCACGGAGATGGTCGTTGCTTCATTTTCACTGGTCGAATAGGGGCGTGAACATCATACAACACTGTGAGCGCTGATATAAAAAGATTCACTTTTTCATTTACAGAGTTACTGTCGAGAAGCTGTGACCAATCAATTTTAGCAGCATCCTCGCAAAGTTTCCTGTTGTTAATACCATTAAAATTACGCTGCAATAGAATTTTCGGCTTAGCTTTTGGTGGGCGGATCTTGCATGAGAGAAAAATCAGGTCATGATAAGAGAAGGCATCAGCCGGGAGTTGACCATGTTTAGCGACATGTTGAGAAGATGAGACGATGATAAGGTCAAGAAGCGAGGGAGTGCAGTTGGGAAAATTATGGGTGGCATTCAAAGAAGGTAAGAATAAATTATTAGATTGGAGAATCGAATGAAAAGCTGCTGAACGGAAGTCATTTTTAAGAAGACAAGTGTTGAAGTCACCCATGATAATAGTATGACTGTAAGTAGGACAAAGGGACTCCAATATATTATCAAGAGAAGAAAAATAGTTTATACGAGAAGAGGGACAGTAATACACACCGAGAAGTGCTTTAGTATGGCACAGGCTAATCTCCAAGAAGAGGTGTTCACCAGCATTCTGTGGCGGTGGCTGAGGTGACATATCAACCACTGTGAATGGAATATGAGCACGGAGATATATGGCGACACCACCCCCTCCATGCGTCGTACGGTCATTCCTTATTAAGTTAAAGCCTGGCAAAGAATATGTAGAAGAGGGTAGACATGGCTTAAGCCATGACTCTGAGACAAGTATGGCATGAATGTTCTTACAGTCAAAATTTGTCAGCATATCAGAAAAATGAGCCGGAATGCTTTGAGCATTTATATGAACAACATTGAAATTTTTTGATACATCAGAGAAACAAGAACTGAGTGAGTCGGATAAAGCAGAAATACTT